CACCACTCACCATCACTCACCACCACCACTCACCACCACCACCACTCACCATCACTCACCACCACCACTCACCATCACTCACCACCACCACTCACCATCACTCACCACCACCACTCACCACCACCACCACTCACCACCACCACTCACCACCACTCACCACCACCACCACCACCACTCACCATCACTCACCACCACCACTCACCACCACCACCACCACTCACCACCACCACTCACCATCACTCACCACCACCACTCACCATCACTCACCACCACCACTCACCACCACCACCACTCACCACCACCACTCACCACCACTCACCACTCACCACCACCACCACCACCACTCACCATCACTCACCACCACCACTCACCACCACCACCACTCACCACCACCACTCACCACCACTCACCACTCACCACCACCACTCACCACCACTCACCACCACTCACCACCACCACCACTCACCACCACTCACCACTCACCACCACCACTCACCACCACCACTCACCACCACTCACCACCACCACTTACCACCACCACTCACCAACACTCACCACCACCACTCACCACCACTCACCACCACTCACCACTCACCAGCACTCACCACCACCATCACCACCACTCACCACCACCACCACTCACCACCACCACGCACCACCACCACCACCACACACCACCACTCACCACCACTCACCACCACCACTCACCACCACCACCACTCACCAACTCCTCACCACCACCACCACCACTCACCAACTCCTCACCACCACCACCACCACCACTCACCAACTCCTCACCACCACCACCACCACTCACCACCACCACTCACCACCACTCACCACCACCACCACTCACCACCACCACTCACCACCACTCACCACTACCACTCACCACCACCACTCACCACCATCACCATCATCACCACCACTCACCACCACCACTCACCACCACCACTCACCACCACTCACCACCACTCACCACCACTCACCACCCACCACCACTCACCACCACCACCACTCACCACCACCACCACTCACCACCACTCACCACTCACCACCACTCACCACCACCACCACTCACCATCACTCACCACCACCACTCACCATCACTCACCACCACCACTCACCATCACTCACCACCACCACTCACCACCACCACCACTCACCACCACCACTCACCACCACTCACCACCACCACCACCACCACTCACCATCACTCACCACCACCACTCACCACCACCACCACTCACCACCACCACTCACCATCACTCACCACCACCACTCACCATCACTCACCACCACCACTCACCACCACCACCACTCACCATCACTCACCACCACCACTCACCATCACTCACCACCACCACTCACCATCACTCACCACCACCACTCACCACCACCACCACTCACCACCACCACTCACCACCACTCACCACCACCACCACCACCACTCACCATCACTCACCACCACCACTCACCACCACCACCACCACTCACCACCACCACTCACCATCACTCACCACCACCACTCACCATCACTCACCACCACCACTCACCACCACCACCACTCACCACCACCACTCACCACCACTCACCACTCACCACCACCACCACCACCACTCACCATCACTCACCACCACCACTCACCACCACCACCACTCACCACCACCACTCACCACCACCACCACTCACCACCACCACTCACCACCACTCACCACTCACCACCACCACTCACCACCACTCACCACCACCACCACCCACCACCACTCACCACCACCACCACTACCACTCACCACCACCACCACTCACCACCGCTCACCACGGGAGGTGCAGCTGAACCTCTGCGTCTCCCTCTTCTCCCGCAGTATCACAGCCAGCGCTGCCCGGCAAACCGCTGTGGCGGTGGTGGCGGTGGTGGCGGTGGTGGCGGTGGTGGCCGTGGTGGTGGCGGTGGTGGTGGCGGTAGTGGCCGTGGTGGTAGCGGTGGCGGTGGCCGTGGTGGTGGCGGTGGCGGTGGTAGCGGTGGTGGTGGTGGCCGTGGTGGCCGCGGTGGTGGTGGTGGTGGCCATGGCCAGGCTGTGCTGGTGGCGCTCAATGAATCCGGTGTCCACCAGGCCGGCGCGGAACGCCGGGTGGGCAGCGAGGGACAGCAGGAAGGGAACGTTGGTCTCCACGCCCACCACCTGGCGGACACGGAGACACACGGGGACACACGGGGACACGGAGAGACACACGGAGACACGGGGATACACGGAGACACACGGGGAGACACGGAGACATAGAGACACACGGAGACATAGAGACACACGGTGACAGAGACACACGGAGACATAGAGACACACGGTGACACACGGAGACACGGGGGGATACATGGTGACACACGGAGACACACGGAGACACACGGAGACACGCGGAGACACACGGGGACACGCGGAGACACGGAGAGACACGGAGACACACGGTGAGACACGGTGACATAGAGACACACGGAGACATAGAGACACACGGGGACATAGAGACACACGGAGACATAGAGACACACGGAGACACACGGGGACACACGGAGACATACGGAGACACGCGGAGACACACGGGGATACACGGAGACACACGGAGACACACGGTGACATAGAGACACACGGAGACATAGAGACACACGGAGACACACGGGGATACACGGTGACACACGGGGACACGGAGATGCACGGAGACACACGGGGACACGGGGAGACACGGAGAGACACGGTGAGACACACGGAGACACGGGGAGACACGGAGAGACACGGTGAGACACAGAGACACACGGAGACACGGACGTAGGCACGGCAGACAGACACAGCATCAGACACAGCAACATCAGACACAGCAACATCAGACACAGCATCAGACACAGCAACATCAGACACAGCAACATCAGACACAGCAACATCAGACACAGCAACATCAGACACAGCATCAGACACAGCAACATCAGACACAGCAACATCAGACACAGCAACATCAGACACAGCAACATCAGACACAGCATCAGACACAGCAACATCAGACACAGCATCAGACACAGCAACATCAGACACAGCAACATCAGACACAGCATCAGACACAGCAACATCAGACACAGCAACATCAGACACAGCAACATCAGACACAGCAACATCAGACACAGCATCAGACACAGCAACATCAGACACAGCAACATCAGACACAGCATCAGACACAGCAACATCAGACACAGCATCAGACACAGCAACATCAGACACAGCATCAGACACAGCAACATCAGACACAGCATCAGACACAGCAACATCAGACACAGCATCAGACACAGCAACATCAGACACAGCATCAGACACAGCAACATCAGACACAGCAACATCAGACACAGCAACATCAGACACAGCAACATCAGACACAGCAACATCAGACACAGCATCAGACACAGCAACATCAGACACAGCATCAGACACAGCAACAGACAGCATCAGACACAGCATCAGACAGCATCAGACACGGCATCAGACACAGCAACATCAGACACAGCATCAGACACAGCAACAGACAGCATCAGACACAGCATCAGACAGCATCAGACACAGCAACATCAGACACGGCATCAGACACAGCATCAGACACAGCATCAGATACAGCATGGGTGATCGTGTGGGTGAGTGGGTGAGCGTGTGGGTGAGTGGGTGAGCATGTGGGTGAGTGGATGAGTGGGTGAGCGTGTGGGTGAGCGTGTGGGTGAGTGGTTGAGTGGGTGAGCGTGTGGGTGAGTGGTTGAGTGGGTGAGCGTGTGGGTGAGCGTGTGGGTGAGTGGTTGAGTGGGTGAGCGTGTGGGTGAGCGTGTGGGCGAGCGTGTGAGTGGGTGAGCGTGTGGGTGAGCGTGTGGGTGAGCGTGTGGGTGAGCGTGTGGGTGAGCGTGTGGGTGAGCGTGTGGGTGAGCGTGTGGCTGAGCGTGTGGCTGAGCGTGTGGCTGAGCGTGTGGGTGAGCGTGTGGGTGAGCGTGTGGGTGAGCGTGTGGGTGAGCGTGTGGCTGAGCGTGTGGCTGAGCGTGTGGGTGAGCGTGTGGGTGAGCGTGTGGGTGAGCGTGTGGGTGAGCGTGTGGGTGAGCGTGTGAGTGGGTGAGCGTGTGGGTGGGTGAGCGTGTGGGTGAGCGTGTGGGTGAGCGTGTGAGTGGGTGAGCGTGTGGGTGAGCGTGTGGGTGAGCGTGTGGGTGAGCGTGTGAGTGGGTGAGCGTGTGGGCAAGTGTGTGGGTGAGCGTGTGGGTGAGCGTGTGGGTGAGCGTGTGGGTGAGCGTGTGGGTGAGCTTGTGGGTGAGCGTGTGGGTGAGCGTGTGGGTGAGCGTGTGAGTGAGCGTGTGGGTGAGCGTGTGGGTGAGCGTGTGGCTGAGCGTGTGGGTGAGCGTGTGGGTGAGCGTGTGGGTGAGCGTGTGGGTGAGCGTGTGGGTGAGCGTGTGGCTGAGCGTGTGGCTGAGCGTGTGGGTGAGCGTGCGGGTGAGCGTGTGGGTGAGCGTGTGGGTGAGCGTGTGGGTGAGCGTGTGAGTGGGTGAGCGTGTGGGTGAGCGTGTGGGTGAGCGTGTGAGTGGGTGAGCGTGTGGGTGAGCGTGTGGGTGAGCGTGTGGGTGAGCGTGTGAGTGGGTGAGCGTGTGGGCGAGCGTGTGGGCGAGCGTGTGGGCGAGCGTGTGGGTGAGCGTGTGGGTGAGCGTGTGGGTGAGCGTGTGGGTGAGCGTGTGGGTGAGCGTGTGGCTGAGCGTGTGGGTGAGCGTGTGGGTGAGCGTGTGGGTGAGCGTGTGAGTGGGTGAGCGTGTGGGTGAGCGTGTGGGTGAGCGTGTGGGTGAGCGTGTGGGTGAGCGTGTGGGTGAGCGTGTGGGTGAGCGTGTGAGTGGGTGAGCGTGTGGGTGAGCGTGTGGGTGAGCGTGTGGGTGAGCGTGTGGGTGAGCGTGTGGGTGAGCGTGTGAGTGGGTGAGTGTGTGGGTGAGCGTGTGGGTGAGCGTGTGGGTGAGCGTGTGGGTGAGCGTGTGGGTGAGCGTGTGAGTGGGTGAGCGTGTGGGTGAGCGTGTGGGTGAGCGTGTGGGTGAGCGTGTGGGTGAGCGTGTGAGTGGGTGAGCGTGTGAGTGGGTGAGCGTGTGTGTGGTTGAGCGTGTGGGTGAGCGTGTGGGTGAGCGTGTGGGCGAGCGTGTGAGTGGGTGAGCGTGTGGGTGAGCATGTGGGTGAGCGTGTGGGTGAGCGTGTGTGTGAGCGTGTGAGTGGGTGAGCGTGTGGGTGAGCGTGTGGGTGAGCGTGTGGGTGAGCGTGTGGGTGAGCGTGTGGGTGAGCGTGTGGGTGAGCGTGTGGGTGAGCGTGTGAGTGGGTGAGTGTGTGGGTGAGCGTGTGGGTGAGCGTGTGAGTGGGTGAGCGTGTGGGTGAGCGTGTGGGTGAGCGTGTGAGTGGGTGAGTGTGTGGGTGAGTGTGTGGGTGAGCGTGTGGGTGAGCGTGTGAGTGGGTGAGTGTGTGGGTGAGCGTGTGGGTGAGCGTGTGGGTGAGCGTGTGGGTGAGCGTGTGGGTGAGCGTGTGGGTGAGCGTGTGGGTGAGCGTGTGAGTGGGTGAGCGTGTGGGTGAGCGTGTGGGTGAGCGTGTGGGTGAGCGTGTGGGTGGGTGAGTGGGTGGGTGAGCGTGTGGGTGAGCGTGTGAGTGGGTGAGGGTGTGGGTGAGCGTGTGGGTGAGCGTGTGGGTGAGCGTGTGGGTGAGCGTGTGAGTGGGTGAGCGTGTGAGTGAGCGTGTGGGTGAGCGTGTGGGTGAGCGTGTGGGTGAGCGTGTGGGTGAGCGTGTGGGTGAGCGTGTGAGTGGGTGTGTGGGTGAGCGTGTGGGTGAGCGTGTGGGTGAGCGTGTGGGTGAGCGTGTGGGTGAGCGTGTGGGTGAGCGTGTGGGTGAGCGTGTGAGTGGGCGTGTGGGTGAGCGTGTGGGTGAGCGTGTGGGTGAGCGTGTGGGTGAGCGTGTGGGTGAGCGTGTGGGTGAGCGTGTGGGTGAGCGTGTGGGTGAGCGTGTGGGTGAGCGTGTGAGTGGGCGTGTGGGTGAGCGTGTGGGTGAGCGTGTGGGTGAGAGTGTGAGTGAGCGTGTGGGTGAGCGTGTGGGTGAGAGAGAGGGTACTAGAGTGGGTGAGCGTGTGCGTGAGAGAGGGTGTGAGCGTGAGGGTGAGCGAGTGGGTGGGTGAGCGTGTGGGTGAGCGTGTGGGTGAGCGTGTGGGTGAGCGTGTGGGTGAGCGTGTGGGTGAGCGTGTGGGTGAGCGTGTGGGTGAGCGTGTGAGTGGGTGAGCGTGTGGGTGAGCGTGTGGGTGAGCGTGTGGGTGAGCGTGTGGGTGAGCGTGTGTGTGAGCGTGTGGGTGAGCGTGTGGGTGAGCGTGTGGGTGAGCGTGTGGGTGAGCGTGTGGGTGAGCGTGTGGGTGAGCGTGTGGGTGAGCGTGTGGGTGAGCGTGTGGGTGAGCGTGTGGGTGAGCATGTGGGTGAGCGTGTGAGTGGGTGAGCGTGTGGGTGAGCGTGTGGGTGAGCGTGTGGGTGAGCATGTGGGTGAGCGTGTGGGTGAGCGTGTGGGTGAGCGTGTGGGTGAGCGTGTGGGTGAGTGTGGGGGGGAGCGTGTGGGGGGGTGAGCGTGTGGGTGAGCGTGTGGGTGAGCGTGTGGGTGAGCGTGTGAGTGGGTGAGCGTGTGGGTGAGCGTGTGGGTGAGCGTGTGGGTGAGCGTGTGGGTGAGCGTGTGGGTGAGCGTGTGGGTGAGCGTGTGGGTGGGTGAGCGTGTGGGTGAGTGTGTGGGTGAGCGTGTGGGTGGGTGAGCGTGTGGGTGAGCGTGTGGGTGAGCGTGTGGGTGAGCGTGTGGGTGAGCGTGTGGGTGAGCGTGTGGGTGAGCGTGTGGGTGAGCGTGTGGGTGAGCGTGTGTGTGAGCGTGTGGGTGAGCGTGTGGGTGTGCGTGTGGGTGAGCGTGTGGGTGAGCGTGTGGGTGAGCGTGTGGGTGAGCGTGTGGGTGAGCGTGTGGGTGAGCGTGTGGGTGAGCGTGTGGGTGAGCGTGTGAGTGGGTGAGCGTGTGGGTGAGCGTGTGGCTGAGCGTGTGTGTGAGCGTGTGGGTGAGCGTGTGGGTGAGCGTGTGGGTGAGCGTGTGGGTGAGCGTGTGGGTGAGCGTGTGGGTGAGCGTGTGGGTGAGCGTGTGGGTGAGCGTGTGGGTGAGCGTGTGGGTGAGCGTGTGGGTGAGCGTGTGAGTGGGTGAGCGTGTGGGTGAGCGTGTGGGTGAGCGTGTGAGTGGGTGAGCATGTGGGTGAGCGTGTGGGTGAGCGTGTGGGTGAGCGTGTGGGTGAGCGTGTGGGTGAGCGTGTGAGTGGGTGAGCGTGTGGGTGAGCGTGTGGGTGAGCGTGTGGGTGAGCGTGTGGGTGAGCGTGTGGGTGAGCGTGTGGGTGAGCGTGTGGGTGAGCGTGTGGGTGAGCGTGTGGGTGAGCGTGTGGGTGAGCGTGTGGGTGAGCGTGTGGGTGAGCGTGTGGGTGAGCGTGTGGGTGAGCGTGTGGGTGAGCGTGTGGGTGAGCGTGTGAGTGGGTGAGCGTGTGAGTGGGTGAGCGTGTGAGTGGGTGAGCGTGTGAGTGGGTGAGCGTGTGAGTGGGTGAGCGTGTGAGTGGGTGAGCGTGTGAGTGGGTGAGCGTGTGGGTGAGCGTGTGGGTGAGCGTGTGGGTGAGCGTGTGGGTGAGCGTGTGGGTGAGCGTGTGGGTGAGCGTGTGGGTGAGCGTGTGGGTGAGCGTGTGTGTGAGCGTGTGGGTGAGCGTGTGGGTGAGCGTGTGGGTGAGCGTGTGGGTGAGCGTGTGGGTGAGCGTGTGGGTGAGCGTGTGGGTGAGCGTGTGGGTGAGCGTGTGGGTGAGCGTGTGGGTGAGCGTGTGGGTGAGCGTGTGGGTGAGCGTGTGGGTGAGCGTGTGGGTGAGCGTGTGGGTGAGCGTGTGGCTGAGCGTGTGGGTGAGCGTGTGGCTGAGCGTGTGGCTGAGCGTGTGGGTGAGCGTGTGGGTGAGCGTGTGGCTGAGCGTGTGGCTGAGCGTGTGGGTGAGCGTGTGGCTGAGCGTGTGGCTGAGCGTGTGGGTGAGCGTGTGGGGTGAGCGTGTGGGTGAGCGTGTGGGTGAGCGTGTGGGTGAGCGTGTGGGTGAGCGTGTGGGTGAGCGTGTGGGTGAGCGTGTGGGTGAGCGTGTGGCTGAGCGTGTGGGTGAGCGTGTGGCTGAGCGTGTGGCTGAGCGTGTGGGTGAGCGTGTGGGTGAGCGTGTGGGTGAGCGTGTGGCTGAGCGTGTGGGTGAGCGTGTGGCTGAGCGTGTGGCTAAGCGTGTGGGTGAGCGTGTGGGTGAGCGTGTGGGTGAGCGTGTGGCTGAGCGTGTGGGTGAGCGTGTGGGTGAGCGTGTGGGTGAGCGTGTGGCTGAGCGTGTGGGTGAGCGTGTGGGTGAGCGTGTGGGTGAGCGTGTGGGTGAGCGTGTGGGTGGGTGAGCGTGTGGGTGAGCGTGTGGGTGAGCGTGTGGGTGAGCGTGTGGGTGGGTGAGCGTGTGGGTGAGTGGGTGAGCGTGTGGGTGAGCGTGTGGGTGGGTGAGCGTGTGGGTGAGCGTGTGGGTGAGCGTGTGGGTGAGCGTGTGGGTGAGCGTGTGGGTGGGTGAGCGTGTGGGTGAGCGTGTGGGTGAGCGTGTGGGTGAGCGTGTGGGTGGGTGAGCGTGTGGGTGGGTGAGCGTGTGGGTGAGCGTGTGGGTGAGCGTGTGGGTGAGTGTGTGGGTGAGCGTGTGGGTGAGCGTGTGGGTGAGCGTGTGGGTGAGCGTGTGGGTGAGCGTGTGGGTGAGCGTGTGGGTGAGCGTGTGGCTGAGCGTGTGGGTGAGCGTGTGGCTGAGCGTGTGGCTAAGCGTGTGGGTGAGCGTGTGGCTGAGCGTGTGGGTGAGCGTGTGGCTGAGCGTGTGGGTGAGCGTGTGGCTGAGCGTGTGGCTGAGCGTGTGGGTGAGCGTGTGGGTGAGCGTGTGGGTGAGCGTGTGGGTGAGCGTGTGGGTGAGCGTGTGGGTGAGCGTGTGGGTGAGCGTGTGGGTGAGCGTGTGGGTGAGCGTGTGGGTGAGCGTGTGGGTGGGTGAGCGTGTGGGTGAGCGTGTGGGTGAGCGTGTGGGTGAGCGTGTGGGTGGGTGAGCGTGTGGGTGAGCGTGTGGGTGAGCGTGTGGGTGAGCGTGTGGGTGAGCGTGTGGGTGGGTGAGCGTGTGGGTGAGCGTGTGGGTGAGCGTGTGGGTGAGCGTGTGGGTGGGTGAGCGTGTGGGTGAGCGTGTGGGTGAGCGTGTGGGTGAGCGTGTGGGTGAGCGTGTGGGTGAGCGTGTGGGTGGGTGAGCGTGTGGGTGAGCGTGTGGGTGAGCGTGTGGGTGAGCGTGTGGGTGGGTGAGCGTGTGGGTGAGCGTGTGGGTGAGCGTGTGGGTGAGCGTGTGGGTGAGCGTGTGGGTGAGCGTGTGGGTGAGCGTGTGGGTGAGCGTGTGGGTGAGCGTGTGGGTGAGCGTGTGGGTGAGCGTGCGTGTGGGCGAGCGTGTGGGCGAGCGTGTGGGTGAGAGTGTGGGCGAGCGTGTGGGTGAGCGTGTGGGTGAGCGTGTGGGTGAGCGTGTGGGTGAGCGTGTGGGTGAGCGTGTGGGTGAGCGTGTGGGTGAGCGTGTGGGTGAGCGTGTGGGTGAGCGTGTGGGTGAGCGTGTGGGTGAGCGTGCGGGTGAGCGTGTGGGTGAGCGTGCGGGTGAGCGTGTGGGTGAGCGTGCGGGTGAGCGTGTGGGTGAGCGTGTGGGTGAGCGTGTGGGTGAGCGTGTGGGTGAGCGTGTGGGTGAGCGTGCGGGTGAGCGTGTGGGTGAGCGTGCGGGTGAGCGTGTGGGTGAGCGTGCGGGTGAGCGTGTGGGTGAGCGTGTGGGTGAGCGTGTGGGTGAGCGTGTGGGTGAGCGTGTGGGTGAGCGTGTGGGTGAGCGTGTGGGTGAGCGTGTGGGTGAGCGTGTGGGTGAGCGTACGTTGTACTGGCTCAGCGCGTGGTGAAGGCGTCCCAGCGCGGTGTCGCGGTCTTCGCCCCACGCCACGACCTTGGCGATCATGGGGTCGTAGTGCGGCGTCACCTCGTCCCCTACACACACACAGACACACACACACAGACACACACAGAGACACACACAGAGACACACAGACACACACACACAGAGACACACAGACACACACACAGAGACACACAGACACACTCACACAGAGACACACAGACACACTCACACAGAGACACACACATGGGGTCGTAGTGCGGCGTCACCTCGTCCCCTACACACACAGAGACACACAGACACACACAGAGACACACACAGAGACACACACAGAGACACACAGACACACACACAGAGACACACACATGGGGTCGTAGTGCGGCGTCACCTCGTCCCCTACACACACAGAGACACACACAGAGACACACACAGACACACACAGACACACACAGACACACACACAGAGACACACAGACACACACAGAGACACACACATGGGGTCGTAGTGCGGCGTCACCTCGTCCCCTACACACACAGAGACACACAGACACACACAGAGACACACACAGAGACACACACAGACACACACAGACACACACAGACACACACACACAGAGACACACAGACTCACACAGAGACACACACATGGGGTCGTAGTGCGGCGTCACCTCGTCCCCTACACACACAGAGACACACAGACACACACAGAGACACACACAGAGACACACACAGAGACACACAGATACACTCAGAGACACACAGAAAGACACACAGACACACTCAGAGACACACAGAAAGACACACAGACACACTCACACAGAGACACACACAGACACACACAGACACACTCACACAGAGACACACACACACACAGACACACACACAGACACACACATGGGGTCGTAGTGCGGCGTCACCTCGTCCCCTACACACACAGAGACACACACACACAGAGACACGCACAGACACACACAGAGACACACAGACACACACAGAGACACACAGACACACACAGAGACACACAGACACACACAGAGACACACACACACTCACACAGAGACACACACATGGGGTCGTAGTGCAGCGTCACCTCGTCCCCTACACACACACAGACACAGAGACACAGAGACACACAGACACACACACAGAGACACACACAGACACACTCACACAGAGACACACACACAGAGACACACACAGAGACACACACACAGACACACACAGAGACACACACACAGACACACACATGGGGTCGTAGTGCAGCGTCACCTCGTCCCCTACACACACACAGACACAGAGACACAGAGACACACAGACACACACAGAGACACAGAGACACACAGACACACACAGAGACACACACAGAGACACACACATGGGGTCGTAGTGCGGCGTCACCTCGTCCCCTACACACACAGAGACACACACAGACACACAGAGACACACACAGAGACACACAGACACACACAGAGACACACACAGACACACACAGAGACACACAGACACACTCAGAGACACACAGACACACAGACACACACAGAGACACACAGACACACACAGAGACACACACACACTCACACAGAGACACACACATGGGGTCGTAGTGCGGCGTCACCTCGTCCCCTACACACACAGAGACACACACACACAGAGACACACACAGACACACACAGAGACACACACAGACACACACACAGACACACAGAGACACACACAGAGACACACACAGACACACACAGACACACACAGACACACTCACACAGAGACACACACAGACACACACAGACACACACACAGACACACACAGACACACACACAGACACACACACAGACACACACAGACACACACACACAGACACACACAGAGACACACACAGAGACACACACAGAGACACACACAGACACACACACAGACACACAGAGACACACACAGAGACACACACAGACACACACACAGACACACAGAGACACACACAGAGACACACACAGACACACACAGACACACACAGACACACTCACACAGAGACACACACAGACACACACAGACACACACACAGACACACACAGACACACACACAGACACACACACAGACACACACAGACACACACACACAGACACACACAGAGACACACACAGAGACACACACAGAGACACACACAGAGACACACTCACACAGAGACACACACAGAGACACACACAGACAACAACAACAACAACAACCGCCATTCGCCACTAAGTGGCGGTGACGTCACCACGACGCTTGTGCCAGGCTATGTGCACCCTGAGGCCACGTGAAGTGTCGAACGCCCGCTGGCAGGAGGTCACTGGGCAGACCCAGGTGCCACGGGTCGACTGACTGAGATGACTGGCTGATGCACCACCTGTGCCCCCTACTGTGCCAACCTGCTGTGCTTTAGCCACCCGGCGCTCCGCTCGCTGTTGTGAGCGCCGCTCCTCCGCCCTCCGTTGTTGTTGGAGGGCGACTGCCTCCAACTGCCCAGTAGCATCCTTCACGAGCCTCCTCCACAGAGGCCGATCTTGACACCGTTGGTACCAGTCATCGGCAAGTCCACTCAGCTCCACGTCCTCCTGTACCACATCACTCCATCTCTTCTCTAGCCCGTGCCGCGCCTGCTTAGCCCCCTCAATCCGGCCAAACAAAAGCTGTTTCGGCATGCGGTGGCTGGGCATGCGGGCTACATGACCCAGCCATCGCAGCCTTGCCTGCCGGAGGAGCTCACCGATGGGACCCTGCCCAGATCTTTCAAGGATTTGTGAGCTCCTCACACAATCCAGTCTGGTTAAACCCAGGATGGATCGTAGGCAGGCCAGCCTAAATGTTTCTAACCGGCGAAGATGTTCCATTAGGGGGGTCCACGTTTCGCAAGCGTAGAGAAGGGAGGGAATGACCGTGGCCGAGAAGACCTGAAGCTTAGTGCGGAGCGACAGACCAGGTAGCTTCCACACAGCGTTACGCAACCGATGAAAAGATATTGCCGCTCGACTGATTCGGAGTGAGACCTCTGCTGTTAAACTGGAGCCAGTCATAAGCACACTGCCCAGGTATGGGAAACTCTCCACTCTCTCCACAACTGCCCCATCACCGATTGGGAGTTGTGGGGGTGGAGTGTCCGATGGTACAAAATACCCAGGCAGGTGCTTAGTTTTGGTGGGGCTGATGGTAAGGCCCCACCTCTTAGTGGCACGCTCCAGTCTCAGCAGCAGCGTCTCCAACTCCTCCTCTGACTGAGCAGCTATTACCAAGTCATCAGCATACATAACGTGGTTGAGCAATAGGGAGCCATCCCTTGACCGCACCCGGGCGTCGATTAGCTTCCCATTATATCTGTACCATATGGAGATTCCCCCGGTACAGACACACACAGACACACACACAAACACACACAGACACACTCACACAGAGACACACAGACACACACAGACACACTCACACAGAGACACACACAGAGACACACACAGACACACACACAAACACACACAGACACACTCACACAGAGACACACACAGACACACACAGACACACACAGACACACAGAGACACACAGACACACACAGAGACACACACAGACACACACAGAGACACACAGACACACACAGAGACACACACAGAGACACACAGAGACACACAGACACACTCACACAGAGACACACACAGACACACACAGAGACACACACAGAGACACACAGACACACTCACACAGAGACACACACAGAGACACACAGACACACACAGAGACACACACAGAGACACACAGACACACTCATACAGAGACACACGCAGAGACACGCACAGACACACACAGAGACACACAGACACACTCACACAGCGACACACACAGAGACACACAGACACTCACAGAGACACACAGACTCACACAGAGACCCACAGACTCACACAGAGACACACAGATACACACTCACACAGATACACACAGACTCACACAGAGACACACTCACACAAAGACACACAGACACAGAGACACACAGAGACACACACAGAGACCCACAGACTCACACAGAGACCCACAGACTCACACAGAGCCCCAGACTCACACAGAGACCCACAGACTCACACAGAGACCCACAGACTCACACAGAGACCCACAGACTCACACAGAGACCCACAGACTCACATAGAGACCCACAGAGTGAGTAATTGAGTGTGTGGGTGAATGAGTGTGTGAGTGAGTGTGTGTGTGAGTGAGTGTGTGAGTGAGTGAGTGTGTGGGTGAGCGAGCTAGTGAGTGCATCTCTCTGTCTCCCGCCTGTCCCCGTGTCTCCCCACGTCTCCCCGCGTCTCTCCATGTCTCTCTGTCGCCCCGTGTCTCTCTATCTCCCCGCGTCTCTCCGTGTCTCTCTGTGTCCCCGTGTCTCTCCGTGTCTCTCTGTCTCCCCGTGTCTCTCCGTGTCTCTCTGTGTCCCCGTGTCTCTCCGTGTCTCTCTGTCTCCCCGCGTCTCTCCGTGTCTCTCTGTCTCCCCGCGTCTCTCCGTGTCTCTCTGTCTCCCCGTGTCTCTCCGTGTCTCTCTGTCTCCCCGCGTGTCCCCGTGTCTCTCTGTCTCCCCGCGTCTCTCCGTGTCTCTCTGTCTCCCCGTGTCTCTCCGTGTCTCTCTGTCTCCCCGCATGTCCCCGCGTCTCTCTGTGTGTCTCCCCGCGTCTCCCCGTGTCTCTCTGTCTCCCCGCATCTCTCCGTGTCTCTCTGTCACTCCGTGTCTCTCTGTCTCCCCGTGTCTCTCTGTCTCCCAGCGTCTCCCCATGTCTCTCTGTCTCCCCGCGTCTCCCCGTGTCTCTCTGTCTCCCCGCATCTCTCCGTGTCTCTCTGTCGCTCCGTGTCTCTCTGTCTCCCCGTGTCTCTCTGTCTCCCCGCGTCTCCCCGCGTCTCCCCGTGTCTCTCTGTCTCCCCGCGTCTCCCCGTGTCTCTCTGTCTCCCCATGTCTCTCCGCGTCTCTCCGTGTCTCTCTGTCTCCCCGTGTCTCTCTGTCTCCCCGCGTCTCCCCGTGTCTCTCTGTCTCCCCGTGTCTCTCTGTCTCCCCGTGTCTGTCTGTCTCCCCGCGTCTCCCCGCGTCTCCCCGTGTCTCTCTGTCTCCCCGCGTCTCTCTGTGTCTCTCTGTCTCCCCGTGTCTCTCTGTGTCTCTCTGTCTCCCCGTGTCTCTCTGTCTCCCCGTGTCTCTCTGTCTCCCCGTGTCTCTCTGTCTCCCCGTGTCTCTCTGTCTCCCCGCGTCTCCCCGCGTCTCCCCGTGTCTCTCTGTCTCCCCGCGTCTCTCTGTGTCTCTCTGTCTCCCCGTGTCTCTCTGTGTCTCTCTGTCTCCCCGTGTCTCTCTGTCTCCCCGTGTCTCTCTGTCTCTCCGTGTCTCTCTGTCTCCCCGTGTCTCTCTGTCTCTCCGTGTCTCTCTGTCTCCCCGTGTCTCTCTGTCTCCCCGCGTCTCCCCACGTCTCTCTGTCTCCCCGCGTTTCCCCGTGTCTCTCTGTCTCCCCGTGTCTCTCTGTCTCCCCGCGTCTCCCCGTGTCTCTCTGTCTCCCCGCGTCTCCCCGTGTCTCTCTGTCTCCCCGCGTCTCTCCGTGTCTCTCTGTCTCCCCGTGTCTCTCTGTCTCCCCGCGTCTCCCTGTCTCCCCGTGTCTCTCTGTCTCCCCGCGTCTCCCCGCGTCTCCCCGCGTCTCCCCGCGTCTCTCTGTCTCCCCGCGTGTCCCACGCCTCACCCTGTCTCACGCCCGTGTCCACGCGGACGTGGCCCCCGGGGGCGGGTGCCGGGGACAGGAAGTGGAGACGCCCGGACACGGGCAGGAACCCCCGGGAAGGATCCTCGGCGTAGACACGGCCCTCCACAGCGTGGCCGTGGAGACGCAGCTCAGACTGGGACAGCGGCAGACGCTCACCACCCGCCACCTGGGGAGACGCACGGGGAGACACACGGGGAGACACACGGGGAGACACACGGGGAGACAGTGGGAGACACGGGGAGACACACGGTGAGACACGGGGAGACACACGGGGAGACACGGGGAGACACACGGGGAGACACGGGGAGACACACGGTGAGACACACGGTGAGACACACGGTGACACACGGTGAGACACACGGTGACACACACGGTGAGACACACGGTGAGACACACGGTGAGACACACGGTGACACACACGGTGACACACGGTGCAACTTGCTTGAAGGCAGCAATACAAAATTAAAAGTGGCGACCCCGCGACCCCACGACCCCGCGACCCCGCGACCCCGCGACCCCTCACCCGCAGCTGCCACTCCACCAGGTCGGTGCCGGTGACCAGCTCGGTGATGGGGTGCTCCACCTGGAGCCGCGTGTTCATCTCCATGAAGAAGAAGCGCTGAGCCGCGTCCATCACAAACTCCACCGTGCCTGCACGCCGGGGAAATCGCGGGCACACACAGGAAGCCGGGGCGCAGCACGGGGGAAGCAGGGAAGCATCAGGGAAGCATCGGGGAAGCGTGAGTGAAGTGTGAGTGAAGCGTGAGTGAAGCGCGTGTGAAGCGCGTGTGAAGCGCGTGTGAAGCGCGAGTGAAGCGCGTGTGAAGCGCGAGTGAAGCGTGTGTGAAGCGTGAGTGAAGCGTGTGTGAAGCGTGAGTGAAGCGTGTGTGAAGCGTGTGTGAAGCGTGAGTGAAGCGTGTGTGAAGCGTGAGTGAAGCGTGAGTGAAGCGTGAGTGAAGCGTGTGTGAAGCGTGTGTGAAGCGTGTGTGAAGCGTGAGTGAAGGGTGTGTGAAGCGTGAGTGAAGCGTGTGTGAGGTGTGTGTGAAGGGTGAGTGAAGCGTGGGTGAAGGGTGTGTGAAGCGTGAGTGAAGCGTGTGTGAGGTGTGTGTGAAGGGTGAGTGAAGCGTGGGTGAAGCGTGTGTGAAGCGTGTGTGAAGCGTGAGTGAGGCGCGAGTGAAGCGTGTGTGAGGCGTGTGTGAGGCGTGTGTGAAGCGTGAGGCGTGAGTGAAGCGTGAGTGAAGCGTGAGTGAAGCGCGAGTGAAGCGCGAGTGAAGCGCGTGTGAAGCGTGAGTGAAGCGTGGGTGAAGCGTGAGTGAAGCGTGTGTGAAGCGTGTGTGAAGCGTGTGTGAAGCGTGTGTGAAGCGTGAGTGAAGCGTGTGTGAAGCGTGTGTGAAGCGTGAGTGAAGCGTGTGTGAAGCGTGAGTGAAGCGTGTGTGAAGCGTGTGTGAAGCGTGTGTGAAGCGTGAGTGAAGGGTGTGTGAAGCGTGAGTGAAGCGTGTGTGAGGCGTGTGTGAAGGGTGAGTGAAGCGTGGGTGAAGCGTGTGTGAAGCGTGGGTGAAGCGTGAGTGAGGCGCGAGTGAAGCGTGTGTGAGGCGTGTGTGAGGCGTGTGTGAAGCGTGAGGCGTGAGTGAAGCGTGAGTGAAGCGTGTGTGAAGCGTGAGTGAAGCGTGAGTGAAGCGTGAGGCGTGAGTGAAGCGTGAGTGAAGCGTGAGTGAAGCGTGAGGCGTGAGTGAAGCGTGTGTGAAGCGTGAGTGAAGCGTGAGTGAAGCGTGAGGCGTGAGTGAAGCGTGAGTGAAGCGTGAGCCGTGAGTGAAGCGTGTGTGAAGCGTGTGTGAAGCGTGTGTGAAGCGTGAGTGAGGCGTGAGTGAGGCGTGAGTGAAGCGTGGGTGAAGCGTGAGTGAAGTGTGAGTGAAGGGTGAGGCGTGTGTGAAGCGTGTGTGAAGCGTGTGTGAAGCGTGTGTGAAGCGTGTGCGAGGCGTGTGTGAAGCGTGTGTGAAGCGTGAGTGAAGCGTGTGTGAAGCGTGTGTGAAGCGTGAGTGAGGCGTGAGTGAGGCGTGTGAGAAGCGTGTGTGAGGCGTGAGTGAGGCGTGAGTGAAGCGTGAGTGAAGCATGTGTGAAGCGTGAGTGAAGCGTGAGTGAAGCGTGAGGCGTGAGTGAAGCGTGAGTGAAGCGTGAGTAAAGCGTGTGTGAAGCGTGGGTGAAGCGTGGGTGAAGCGTGTGTGAAGCGTGAGTGAAGCGTGAGTGAAGCATGTGTGAGGCGTGTGTGAAGCGTGTGTGAAGCGTGTGTGAAGCGTGAGTGAAGCGTGTGTGAAGCGTGAGCGAGGCGTGAGTGAGGCGTGTGTGAGGCGTGTGTGAGGCGTGTGTGAAGCGTGTGTGAAGCGTGTGTGAAGCGTGTGTGAAGCGTGTGTGAAGCGTGAGTGAAGCGTGAGTGAAGCGTGTGTGAAGCGTGAGTGAGGCGTGAGTGAGGCGTGTGTGAGGCGTGTGTGAGGCGTGTGTGAAGCGTGTGTGAAGCGTGTGTGAAGCGTGTGTGAAGCGTGTGTGAAGCGTGAGTGAAGCGTGAGTGAAGCGTGTGTGAGGCGTGTGTGAGGCGTGAGTGAGGCGTGAGTGAAGCGTGAGTGAAGCGTGAGTGAGGCGTGAGTGAAGCGTGTGTGAAGCGTGAGTGAAGCGTGTGTGAAGCGTGTGTGAAGCGTGTGCGAAGCGTGGGTGAAGCGTGAGTGAAGCGCGAGTGAAGCGTGAGTGAAGCGTGTGTGAAGCGTGGGTGAAGCGTGTGTGAAGCGTGTGTGAAGCGTGTGTGAAGCGTGTGTGAAGCTCACCGGCCCCCACGTAGTTCACCGCCTTCGCTGCTCTCACGGCCGCCTCCCCGAGCTCCCTGCGAACCTCCTCAGTGAGCCCCGGCTACAACAACAACAACATCAACAACATCAGCAACAACATCAACATCAACAACATCAACATCATCAACAACATCAACCACATCAACAACATCAACAACATCAACATCATCATCAACAATAACATCATCAACAACATCAACATCATCAACAACATCAACAACAACATCAACAACAACAACATCAACAACATCAACAACGTCAACAACATCAACAACAACAACGTCAACACCAACAACATCAACAACATCAGCAACAACAACATCAACAACGTCAACAACAACATCAACAACAACATCAACAACATCAACAACATCATCAACATCAACAACAACAACATCATCATCAACATCAACAACATCATTAACAACAACAACATCAACAACAACATCAAAAACATCATCAACATCAACAACAACATCAACAACGCCAACAACATCAATAACAACATCATCATCAACAACATCAACAACGTCAACAACAACAACATCAACAACAACAACAATGTCATCAACAACTTTTCGATTTAAAGCTTTCGTGACTGCAAGGATTCATCTTCTTTGGTTCTTTCGGTAAAGTCACCACCACGTAGAATGAGAATAAAATAATAAATTAATGCAATAAAACAATAAAATTCTCACGACGTTTCGGCCACAACACAGGCAGCCTTCTTCAGGTGAAAGAACAGACCTGTCGGGACGACAGAGCTACAATTAACGCTGCTAAGATTCGCAGCGTCTTTTAAGCTCGGTGAGAGGCGTGGCGAGCCTTGACAAAGGAGTTCACATATCAGAGCAGGAGAATTTAGCATTGAAATAGCCGAGGGATTAGCTTGTGACAGAAAAGGCCGTGTTAAAGTCAAAGTTTAAATATCAACAGAGGCATTTAGTACATGGACGCTAAAGGCCTCCAACTAAACCAACTATCATAAAGTAAGCCGATGTGAAGAAAAAAACTAAGTCTATATCACATCAATAAAATAAATGTACTTAATATATTCTTCAATAAGCTGAGCTATTAATCACACAGCAACTGGGTATACATCACACTATATAATGAACACCACGTAGCAAACCAATAAAAAAACTAAAATATAAGCTCCTCAATGTTATCAATAAACTCTACATCTTCTCCAATCAGCTGAGCGACTAACAATAAGTCGTTATACATCACAATGTTATATGGTGAAAAATGGCGGGGTTTCCCCCATCCCCTTAACACCAGCACCAGGGACAGTGACATTCAGGCGGACGGGTCAATCCCTGCTCGGAAGGGAGGAGGGAGAAACAGTGACAATGCCGGCGAAACAGCTACGGTCTGAAGGTCATCGTAAAATACAATCAATTAAGAACCGAAATGGTTTAAAACATCTTTCCAATGGTTACTAAGCCAGAATCCATCCTCTCGGTTGAAATTGTCTCTGTGCTTGTATATGTGGATGGATGGCCTCATGAACGAATCTCTCGGTAGCCGGTTGGCTTGCAAAGAACCTCCGTCTTGGAGAAGTCAATGTCATGTGAGCCCACTGAATTATAACAGTGATCTGCCACGGCAGAGGAGTTCGTTCTGCCGTGTTTCAAGTCTGCTTTATGTTCGCGGATGCGGTCCGAGATATGTCGTTTGGTTTATCCAATGTGGCTACTACCACAGAGGCACTTTAGTTTGTAAACGCCCGGGTACTGTATGTCTGGAACAGCATCTTTTACAGATGGAACCAGATCACGGATTTTATGTACTGTGTTGAATCGTCTTCTTTGGTTCTTTCGGTAAAGTCACGTAGAATGATAATAAAATAATAAATTGATAAAATAAAATAACACAATAATATTCTCACGACGTTTCGGCCACAACACAAGCGGCCTTCATCAGGTGAAGGGGGCGAGACTGTCTGGTAGGACAGCGCTGGAGTGAAAGAGCCACGTTCAGATACGGCCTTTAAGCTGTGTGAGAGGAACAAAGCACCTTGACAAAGGAATTAGCATATAATTTAGCATTGAAATGGCTGAATGATTAGCTTGTGACTGGTCACAGAAAGAGCTATGTTAAAAGTTAAAGCATACACACCCGCAGAGGCACCCATTGTTAAAGGGATTAGCATAGAATTTAGCATTGAAATAGCTAAGTTAAGGCATACACATCTTGACAATGGAATTAGCATAGAATTTAGCATTGAGATGGCTGAGTGATTAGCTTGTACCTGCTGCAGGAATAGACACGTTAAAGTCAGAGCATACACATTCACCGAGGCCCTTAGTACAAACCAAACAGGAGAATTTAGCATTGAAATAACTAGGCGAATCCAGCATTGAAATAACTGGGTGATTTGCTAGTGACTGGTCACAGAAATGACTACACATCTGAGCTATTCACAGTACTATATAGTGAACCAATAAAAACTAAAATATAAATTACCTTCATGTTATCAATATAGAGTTTATTGATAATATGAAGGTAATTTATATTTTATAGTTTATTGGTTCACTATATAGTACTGTGAATAGCTCAGATGTGCAGTCATTTCTGTGACCAGTCACTAGCTAATCACTCAGTTGTTTCAATGCTGGATTCGCCTAGTTATTTCAATGCTAAATTCTCCTGTTTGATTTGTACTAAGGACCTCGGTGAATGTGTATGCTCTGACTTTAACGTGTCTATTTCTGCAGCAGGTACAAGCTAATCACTCAGCCACCTCAATGCTAAATTCTATGCTAATTCCATTGTCAAGATGTGTATGCCTTAACTTAGCTATTTCAATGCTAAATTCTATGCTAATCCCTTTAACAATGGGTGCCTCTGCGGGTGTGTATGCTTTAACTTTTAACATAGCTATTTCTGTGACCAGTCACAAGCTAATCATTCAGCCATTTCAATGCTAAATTATATGCTAATTCCTTTGTCAAGGCGCTTTGTTCCTCTCACACAGCTTAAAGGCCGTATCTGAACGTGGCTCTTTCACTCCAGCGCTGTCCTACCAGACAGTCTCACCCCCTTCACCTGATGAAGGCCGCTTGTGTTGTGGCCGAAACGTCGTGAGAATATTATTGTGTTATTTTATTTTATCAATTTATTATTTTATTATCATTCTACGTGACTTTACCGAAAGAACCAAAGAAGATGAATCATTGCAGTCACGAAAGCTTTAAATCGAAATGTGTTGAATCGGACCTGGATCTTGTGTTTATTCAGGATTTTGGAGATCTTTTTAGTGACCCCTGCAATGTAGGGTAAGGTGATGGTTTTGAGTGGCTCCACAAGAGGATCCTTCTTCATGACTGGAGTGATGGCTTTGCGGATTGTGTAGTCGGAGTAACCATTAGCCCTGAGAGCCTGGTGTACGTGCTTGAGTTCACTGGTAATGTGTTCCTGGTCGGAAATGCATTGGGCTCTATGGTATAGAGTCTTGATGAGGGAGTTCTTCTGGGATGGATGGTGGTGGGAATCCGGTTTCAAGTAAGCATCTGTATGGGTAGCTTTCCTGTAGACAAGAGTGGCTCATTGAACCATCAGGTCTCCTTTCGTTCATGAGGCCATCCTTCCACATATACAAGCACAGAGACAATTTCAACCGAGAAGATGGATTCTGGCTTAGTAACCATTGTAAAGATGTTTTAAACCATTTCGGTTCTTAATTAATTGTATTTTACGATGACCTTCCGACAGCAGCTCTTTTGCTGGCACTGACTCTTAATACCTCTCACACCACGGTTAATGGTATGGTTTACAACATGGAGTATAACAGCGCCTCATAGCTGTCTCTCCCCTCCTTCCTCCTCCGCTCCGACCATGGATGGACTCGTCCGTCTGAACGGGGTCCGTAGCTGTCCGTGGTGCTGAAGTGGAAGGTAAGAATCCACCCGTTTTTTCACCATATAACATTGTGATATAACATTGAGGTAGTTTATATTTGAGTTTTTATTGGTTTACTATATGGTATTCATTATGTAGTGTAGTGTATACCCAGTTAATGTTAATAGCTCAGCTTATTGAAGAATATATTGAGTACATTTATTATATTAATGTAATTTAGAATTAGGTTGTCCACATCGGTTTACTGTATGACATTTGAGTTGTTGCAGCCACCTTTGGCGTCCATGTACGAGGTGCCTCTGTGGATGTGTAGGCCTTTACTTTAACATCTATTTCTGTGACCAGTCACAAGATAATCCCTCAGCTATTTCAATGCTAAATTACTAGTTGCCTCTGTGGATGTGTAGGTTTTGACTTTAACATAGCCATTCCTGTGACCAGTCACAAGCTAATCACTCAGCTATTTCAATGCTAAATTACTAGTTGCCTCTGTGGATGTGTAGGTTTTGACTTTAACATAGCCATTCCTGTGACCAGTCACAAGCTAATCACTCAGCTATTTCAATGCTAAATTACTAGTTGCCTCTGTGGATGTGTAGGTTTTGACTTTAACATAGCCATTCCTGTGACCAGTCACAAGCTAATCACTCAGCTATTTCAATGCTAAATTACTAGTTGCCTCTGTGGATGTGTAGGTTTTGACTTTAACATAGCTATTCCTGTGACCAGTCACAAGCTAATCACTCAGCTATTTCAATGCTAAATTACTAGTTGCCTCTGTGGATGTGTAGGTTTTGACTTTAACATAGCCATTCCTGTGACCAGTCACAAGCTAATCACTCAGCTATTTCAATGCTAAATTACTAGTTGCCTCTGTGGATGTGTAGGTTTTGACTATAACATAGCCATTCCTGTGACCAGTCACAAGCTAATCCCTTAGCTATTTCAATGCTAAATTACTAGTTGCCTCTGTGGATGTGTAGGTTTTTACTTTAACATAGCCATTCCTGTGACCAGTCACAAGCTAATCCCTTAGCTATTTCAATGCTAAATTACTAGTTGCCTCTGTGGATGTGTAGGTTTTGACTTTAACATAGCCATTCCTGTGACCAGTCACAAGCTAATCACTCAGCTATTTCAATGCTAAATTACTAGTTGCCTCTGTGGATGTGTAGGTTTTGACTTTAACATAGCCATTCCTGTGACCAGTCACAAGCTAATCCCTTAGCTATTTCAATGCTAAATTCTCCTGTTTGATTTGTACTAGGTGCCTCTGTGGATGTGTAAGCTTTGACTTTAACATTTCCGTGACCAGTCACAAGCTAATCCCTCAGCTGTTTGATATGTAAACCCCTTTGTCAAGGTGCCTCACTTCTCCCAACCAGCTTAAAAGTCGCTACGAATCTTAACATTGAAGCTCTGTCGTCCCGACAGGTCTGTACCTTTCACCTGATGAAGGCCGCTTGCGTTGTGGCCGAAACGTCCGTGATAATTTTATTGTGTTATTTTATTATTTTATTCTCATTCTACGTGGTGACTTTACCGAAAGAACCAAAGAAGATGACGATGATGGCGATGACGATGATGATGATGGTGGAGGTGGTGGTGAGAATGATGATGGTGATGATGACGATGATGATGATGATGGCGATGACGATGGCGATGACGATGATGGCGATGGTGGCGATGACGATGATGGCGATGACGATGATGATGATGGTGGAGGTGGTGGTGGTGAGAATGATGATGGTGATGATGACGATGATGATGATGGCGATGACGGCGATAATGGCGATGGCGATGACGATGATGATGGTGGAGGTGGTGGTGGAGGTGGTGGTGGTGAGAATGATGATGGTGATGATGACGATGATGATGGCGATGGCGATGACGGCGATAATGGCGATGACGATGATGATGGTGATGATGGTGGTGATGATGATGATGATGACGGTGACGATGGCGATGATGATGACGGTGACGATGGCGATGACGATGATGATGGCGATGATGATGATGGCGATGACGATGATGATGATGGCGATGACGATGATGATGGCGATGACGATGATGACGATGATGATGGTGATGACGATATTGATGTCGATGACGATGGCGGCGATGATGATGGCGATGATGATGATGATGGCGATGACGACGATGGCGATGACAATGATGATGATGGCGATGATGGCGATGATGATGATGGTAGAGGTGGTGATGGTGGTGAGAATGATGATGATGGTGATGATGGTGATGATGGCGACGATGGCGATGACGATGATGACGACGACGGTGATGATGACGACGATGACAACGACGATGATGACCCTCACCGCGGGAGCCTCCTCTATGACCTTCTGGTGTCTCCGCTGGACGCTGCAGTCTCTCTCAAACAGGTACACAGCGTTGCCGTGGTGATCCGCAAACACCTGCACCTCCACGTGCCTGCGTCACACCGCGTCGTCACACCACAGCACGTCACACCGCAGCACGTGACACCGCACCGCGTCATCACACAGCGCCACGTCACACCGCACCGCGTCATCACAGCGCCACATCACACCGTCACGTCACACCGCACCACGTCATCACACCGTCACGTCACACCACGTCACACCGCACCACGTCATCACACCGTCACGTCACACCGCACCACGTCATCACACCGCACCACGTCATCACACCGCACCACGTCATCACACAGCGCCACGACACACCCACCGCGTCATCACACAACACCACCTCACACCGCACCGCGTCACACCGCACCACGTCACACCACGCCACAGCGTCACGTCACACCGCAGTGTCATCACACGTCATCACACCTCGTCATCAAACCTCGTCATCACAACTCGTCATCACACCGCAGCGTCATCACACCGCACCGCGTCACACCGCACCGCGTCACACCGCGCGGCAGCGTCACGTCACACCACGTCATCACACCATCACGTCACACAGCGTCACGTCACACCGCACCACGTCACACCACGCCACAGCGTCACGTCACACCGCAGCGTCATCACACCAAGTCATCACACCGCACCACATCACACCGCGCGGCAGCGTCACACCGCACCGTGTCATCACACCAGGTCATCACACCACGTCATCACACCGTCACGTCACACCGCACGTCACACCACGTCATCACACCGTCACGTCACACCACGTCACGTCACACTGCAGCGTCATCACACCACGTCATCACACCACATCATCACACCGTCACGTCACACCACACCACGCCACAGCGTCACGTCACACCGCAGCGTCATCACACCACGTCATCACACCGCGTCATCACACCGCGTCACCACACCGCGTCATCACACCGCGTCATCACACCACGTCATCACACCACGTCATCACACCACGTCATCACACCGTCACGTCACACCACACCACGTCATCACACCGTCACGTCACACCACACCACGTCATCACACGGCGTCACACCACACGGCGTCACACCGTGGGTTCTGGAGGAATCTCTCTATGAGCATGTCGTCATTGTTGAATGACTTCATCGCCTCTCTCCGTGCCGCTCCTCAAACTCCACGTCATCACACCGCGTCATCACACCACACGTCATCACACCACACGTCATCACACCACGTCACACCGTGGGTTCTGGACGAATCTCTCTATGAGCATGTCGTCATTGTTGAATGACTTCATCGCCTCTCTCCGTGCCGCTCCTCAAACTCCACGTCATCACACCGCGTCATCACACCACGTCATCACACCACGTCATCACACCATGTCACACCACACCGCGTCACACCGTGGGTTCTGGAGGAATCTCTCTATGAGCATGTCGTCATTGTTGAATGACTTCATCGCCTCTCTCCGTGCCGCTCCCAGCTGCTCCTCAAACTCCACGTCGCTCCGCACGATCCTCATGCCCTGCGCACCATCACCACCATCACCGCCATCACCATCACCGCCATCACCATCACCGCCATCACCATCACCGCCATCACCATCAGCACCATCATCACCGCCATCGTCATCATCACCATCATCGCCATCACCATTACCATCACCATCATCACCATCACCACCATCACCGCCGTCACCATCAGCACCATCATCACCGCCATCGTCATCATCACCATCATCGCCATCACCATCACCATCATCACCATCACCACCATCACCGCCGTCACCATCAGCACCATCATCACCGCCATCGTCATCATCACCATCACCGCCATCACCATCACCGCCGTCACCATCAGCACCATCATCACCGCCATCGTCATCATCACCATCATCGCCATCACCATTACCATCACCATCATCACCATCACCACCATCACCGCCGTCACCATCAGCACCATCATCACCGCCATCGTCATCATCACCATCATCGCCATCACCATCATCGCCATCACCATCACCATCATCACCATCACCACCATCACCGCCGTCACCATCAGCACCATCATCACCGCCATCGTCATCATCACCATCATCGCCATCACCATCACCGCCATCACCATCAGCACCATCATCACCATCATCGTCATCATCGCCATCACCGCCAACACCATCAGCACCATCACCGCCATCACCGCCATCACCATCACTACCACCACCATCACCGCCATCTCCGCCATCACCGCCATCACCGCCAGCACCGCCATCAACACGATCACCGCCATCACCGCCATCACCGCCATCACCACCACCAGGATCACCGCCATCACCGCCATCACCATCATCACCATCAGCACTATCATCACCATCATCGCCATCACCGCCATCACCGCCATCATCACCATCGCCATCATCGCCATCACCGCCATCACCATCATCAACACCATCATCAACACCATCACCATCATCAACCATCATCGCCATCATCGCCATCACCATCACCGCCATCACCACCATCACCATCATCACCATCACCGCCATCACCATCACCACCACCAGGATCACCGCCATCACCGCCATCACCATCATCACCATCAGCACTATCATTACCATCATCGCCATCACCGCCATCACCATCATCAACACCATCATCACCATCACCGCCATCACCATCATCAACACCATCACGACCATCGCTATCACCGCCATCACCGCCATCACAATCATCAACACCATCACCATCATCACCATCAGCACCATCACCACCACCACCTTCATCACCATCACCACCATCAACACCACCACCATCATTACCATCATCACCATCAACACCATCACCATCATCACCATCAATACCATCACCATCAACACCATCATCACCGCCATCAACATCATCACCATCACTGCCATCAACACCATCACCAACACCGTCAGCATCATAATCACCACCATCCCCGCCATCAACACCATCATCACCATCATCACCACCATCACCACCATCACCACCACCATCACCATCACCACCATCACCACCACCATCACCACCACCATCACCACCACCACCACCATCACCACCACCACCATCACCACCATCATCATCAACACCATCAACACCATCACCATCATCACCGCCATCACCGCCATCATCACCACCATCAACACCATCACCACCATCAACACCATCACCACCATCAACACCATCAACACCATGACCATCATCATCAACACCATCATCATCAACACCATGACCATCATCATCATCAACACCATCATCATCAACACCATCACCATCATCATCAACACCATCACCATCATCATCAACACCATCACCATCATATTCACCATCATCACCACCATCATCATCATCAACACCGTCAACACTGTCAGCGTCGCTCCGCACGATCCGCATGCCCCGTGTATCATCGCCATCATCATCATCATCAGCACCATCACCAACATCAACAACATCAGCATCATCACCACCATCACCAACATCATCATCACCAGCATCAACAACATCATCACCACATTGTCTGGTGAGCGTGAGTGGTGCGTTGTGTCTGAGCGGTGAGCTGTCTGCCTGGTGAGCTGGTGAGCGCCATCTGGTGAGCGTGTCTCAGCGGTGAGCTCCACCCCGTGAGCTCCACCCTGTGAGCTCTACACAGTGAGCTCCACCCAGTGAGCTCTACACAGTGAGCTCTACACAGTGAGCTCTACACAGTGAGCTCCACACAGTGAGCTCTACACAGTGAGCTCCACCCAGTGAGCTCTACACAGTGAGCTCTGCACAGTGAGCTCTGCACAGTGAGCTCTACACAGTGAGCTCCACACAGTGAGCTCTACACAGTGAGCTCTACACAGTGAGCTCCACCCAGTGAGCTCTACACAGTGAGCTCTACACAGTGAGCTCCACACAGTGAGCTCCACACAGTGAGCTCTACACAGTGAGCTCTACACAGTGAGCTCCACCCAGTGAGCTCCACACAGTGAGCTCTACACAGTGAGCTCTACACAGTGAGCTCTACACAGTGAGCTCCACACAGTGAGCTCCACACAGTGAGCTCCACACAGTGAGCTCTACACAGTGAGCTCTACACAGTGAGCTCTACACAGTGAGCTCTACACAGTGAGCTCTACACAGTGAGCTCTACACAGTGAGCTCTACACAGTGAGCTCTACACAGTGAGCTCCTACACAGTGAGCTCTACACAGTGAGCTCTACACAGTGAGCTCTACACAGTGAGCTCTACACAGTGAGCTCTACACAGTGAGCTCAACACAGTGAGCTCTACACAGTGAGCTCTACACAGTGAGCTCTACACAGTGAGCTCTACACAGTGAGCTCCACACAGTGAGCTCTACACAGTGAGCTCTACACAGTGAGCTCCACACAGTGAGCTCTACACAGTGAGCTCTACACAGTGAGCTCTACACAGTGAGCTCTACACAGTGAGCTCTACACAGTGAGCTCCACACAGTGAGCTCCACCCAGTGAGCTCTACACAGTGAGCTCTACACAGTGAGCTCTACACAGTGAGCTCCACCCAGTGAGCTCTACACAGTGAGCTCCACACAGTGAGCTCTACACAGTGAGCTCTACACAGTGAGCTCTACACAGTGAGCTCCACACAGTGAGCTCTACACAGTGAGCTCCACACAGTGAGCTCACACAGTGAGCTCCACCAGTGAGCTCTACACAGTGAGCTCCACACAGTGAGCTCCACACAGTGAGCTCTACACAGTGAGCTCACACAGTTGAGCTCCACACAGTGAGCTCTACACAGTGAGCTCCACACAGTGAGCTCCACACCTGTGAGCTCTACACAGTGAGCTCCACACAGTGAGCTCACACAGTGAGCTCTACACAGTGAGCTCCACACAGTGAGCTCTACACAGTGAGCTCTACACAGTGAGCTCGACACAGTGAGCTCCACACAGTGAGCTCTACACAGTGAGCTCCACACAGTGAGCTCCACACAGTGAGCTCTACACAGTGAGCTCTACACAGTGAGCTCCTACACAGTGAGCTCTACACAGTGAGCTCCACACAGTGAGCTCTACACAGTGAGCTCACACAGTGAGCTCTACACAGTGAGCTCCACACAGTGAGCTCCACACAGTGAGCTCTACACAGTGAGCTCCACACAGTGAGCTCCACAGTGAGCTCTACACAGTGAGCTCTACACAGTGAGCTCTACACAGTGAGCTCTACACAGTGAGCTCCACACAGTGAGCTCCACACAGTGAGCTCTACACAGTGAGCTCTACACAGTGAGCTCCACACAGTGAGCTCTACACAGTGAGCTCTACACAGTGAGCTCTACACAGTGAGCTCTACACAGTGAGCTCCACACAGTGAGCTCTACAGTGAGCTCCACACAGTGAGCTCTACACAGTGAGCTCCACACAGTGAGCTCTACAGTGAGCTCTACACAGTGAGCTCCACACAGTGAGCTCCACACAGTGAGCTCCACACAGTGAGCTCCACACAGTGAGCTCCATACAGTGAGCTCTACACAGTGAGCTCTACACAGTGAGCTCCACACAGTGAGCTCTACACAGTGAGCTCTACACAGTGAGCTCCACACAGTGAGCTCTACACAGTGAGCTCCACACAGTGAGCTCCACACAGTGAGCTCCACACAGTGAGCTCTACACAGTGAGCTCTACAGTGAGCTCCACCCAGTGAGCTCCACACAGTGAGCTCCACACAGTGAGCTCTACACAGTGAGCTCCACACAGTGAGCTCTACACAGTGAGCTCCACACAGTGAGCTCCACACAGTGAGCTCTACACAGTGAGCTCTACAGTGAGCTCCACCCAGTGAGCTCCACACAGTGAGCTCTACACAGTGAGCTCTACACAGTGAGCTCTACACAGTGAGCTCTACACAGTGAGCTCCACACAGTGAGCTCTACACAGTGAGCTCCACACAGTGAGCTCTACACAGTGAGCTCTACACAGTGAGCTCTACACAGTGAGCTCCATACAGTGAGCTCCACCCAGTGAGCTCTACACAGTGAGCTCTACACAGTGAGCTCTACACAGTGAGCTCTACACAGTGAGCTCAACACAGTGAGCTCCACACAGTGAGCTCTACACAGTGAGCTCTACACAGTGAGCTCCACACAGTGAGCTCTACACAGTGAGCTCTACACAGTGAGCTCCACACAGTGAGCTCTACACAGTGAGCTCCACACAGTGAGCTCTACACAGTGAGCTCTACACAGTGAGCTCCATACAGTGAGCTCCACCCAGTGAGCTCTACACAGTGAGCTCAACACAGTGAGCTCTACACAGTGAGCTCCACACAGTGAGCTCTACCCAGTGAGCTCCACACAGTGAGCTCTACACAGTGAGCTCTACACAGTGAGCTCCATACAGTGAGCTCCACCCAGTGAGCTCCACCCAGTGAGCTCTACACAGTGAGCTCTACACAGTGAGCTCTACACAGTGAGCTCCACACAGTGAGCTCTACCCAGTGAGCTCCACACAGTGAGCTCTACACAGTGAGCTCCACACAGTGAGCTCTACACAGTGAGCTACACAGTGAGCTCTACACAGTGAGCTCCACCCAGTGAGCTCTACACAGTGAGCTCCACACAGTGAGCTCTACACAGTGAGCTCTACACAGTGAGCTCCACCCAGTGAGCTCCACACAGTGAGCTCCACACAGTGAGCTCTACACAGTGAGCTCCACACAGTGAGCTCTACACAGTGAGCTCCACCCCGTGAGCTCCACCCCGTGAGCTCCACCCCGAGAGGATCTCACCTTGCCACCGCCACCCCTCACTGCCTTCACCATCACCGGGTAGCCGATAAGCTCCGCCTCCTTTCTCAGCCGCCCGTCTGATTGGTCGTCGCCGTGGTAACCCTTGATGATTGGCACCCCGGCCGCCTCCATGATGGCCTTGGACGTGCTGGGAGGGTGAGGGGGGGTGAGGGGGGGTGGTGAGGGGGGTGGTGAGGGGGGGGGGTGAGGGGTGGTGAGTGGTGAGTAGTGAGCGAGCGGTGAGTGAGCGGTGGGTGAGCGAGTGGTGAGTGAATGGTGAGAGAGTGTTGAGTGTTGAGTGGTGACCTCTTGAACCCCATGTCTCTGATGGCGGAGGCGGGTGGTGAGTGAGTGGTGAGTGAGTGGTGAGTGAGTGGTGAGCGAGGTGAGTGGTGAGCGGGTGAGAGTGGTGAGTGGTGAGCGTGGTGGGCGGGTGGTGAGTGAGTGGTGAGCGTGGTGGGCGAGTGGTGAGTGAGTGAGTGAGTGGTGAGTGAGTGGTGAGTGAGTGAGTGAGTGGTGAGTGAGCGAGTGGTGAGTGGTGAGTGAGTGGTGAGTGAGTGGTGAGTGAGTGGTGAGTGAGTGAGTGGTGAGTGAGTGGTGAGTGAGTGGTGAGTGAGGTGAGTGAGTGGTGAGTGAGTGGTGAGTGAGTGGTGAGTGAGTGAGTGAGTGGTGAGTGAGTGGTGAGTGAGTGGTGAGTGAGTGGTGAGTGGTGAGTGAGTGAGTGAGTGGTGAGTGAGTGGTGAGTGAGTGGTGAGTGAGTGAGTGGTGAGTGAGTGGTGAGTGAGTGAGTGAGTGGTGAGTGGTGAGTGAGTGGTGAGTGTTGAGTGAGTGGTGAGTGGTGAGTGAGTGGTGAGTGAGTGGTGAGTGGTGAGTGAGTGAGTGGTGAGTGGTGAGTGAGTGGTGGGTGAGTGAGTGAGTGGTGAGTGAGTGGTGAGTGGTGAGTGAGTGAGTGGTGAGTGTTGAGTGAGTGAGTGGTGAGTGTTGAGTGAGTGAGTGGTGAGTGAGTGAGTTGTGAGTGAGTGGTGAGTGAGTGAGTGAGTGGTGAGTGGTGAGTGAGTGGTGAGTGTTGAGTGGTGAGTGAGTGGTGAGTGAGTGTTGAGTGAGTGAGTGAGTGGTAGTGGTGAGTGGTGAGTGTTGAGTGGTGAGTGAGTGGTGAGTGAGTGGTGAGTGTTGAGTGGTGAGTGAGTGGTGAGTGAGTGGTGAGTGAGTGGTGAGTGAGTGGTGAGTGAGTGAGTGAGTGGTGAGTGAGTGGTGAGTGGTGAGTGAGTGAGTGAGTGGTGAGTGTTGAGTGAGTGTGGTGAGTGGTGAGTGAGTGGTGAGTGAGTGGTGAGTGAGTGGTGAGTGAGTGGTGAGTGGTGAGTGAGTGAGTGAGTGGTGAGTGAGTGGTGAGTGGTGAGTGAGTGGTGAGTGAGTGTTGAGTGAGTGAGTGAGTGGTAGTGGTGAGTGGTGAGTGTTGAGTGGTGAGTGGAGTGGTGAGTGAGTGGTGAGTGTTGAGTGAGTGGTGAGTGAGTGGTGAGTGAGTGGTGAGTGGTGAGTGAGTGGTGAGTGAGTGGTGAGTGAGTGAGTGAGTGGTGAGTGAGTGAGTGGTTGAGTGGTGGTGAGTGGTGGTGAGTGGTGAGTGAGTGGTGAGTGGTGAGTGGAGTGTTGCGTGGTGAGTGAGTGGGTGAGTGAGTGGTGAGTGTTGAGTGGTGAGTGTTGAGTGAGTGGTGGTAGTGAGTGGTGAGTGAGTGGTGAGTGAGTGGTGGAGTGTTGAGTGAGTGGTGGTAGTGAGTGGTGAGTGAGTGGTGAGTGAGTGGTGAGTGTTTGAGTGGTGAGTGTTGAGTGGTGAGTGGTGAGTGTTGAGTGGTGAGTGTTGAGTGGTGAGTGGTGAGTGAGTGGTGAGTGAGTGGTGAGTGAGTGGTGAGTGTTGAGTGGTGAGTGGTGAGTGAGTGGTGAGTGAGTGGTGAGTGAGTGGTGAGTGTTGAGTGGTGAGTGAGTGGTGAGTGAGTGGTGAGTGAGTGGTGAGTGGTGAGTGTTGAGTGGTGAGTGGTTGAGTGGTGAGTGAGTGTTGAGTGAGTGTTGAGTGGTGAGTGAGTGGTGAGTGAGTGTTGAGTGAGTGTTGAGTGGTGAGTGAGTGGTGAGTGAGTGGTGAGTGTTGAGTGGTGAGTGTGGAGTGGTGAGTGTTGAGTGGTGAGTGTTGAGTGGTGAGTGAGTGGTGAGTGAGTGAGTGGTGAGTGGTGAGTGAGTGGTGAGTGTTGAGTGGTGAGTGAGTGAGTGTGAGTGGTGAGTGAGTGTTGAGTGAGTGAGTGGTGGTAGTGAGTGGTGAGTGAGTGGTGAGTGTTGAGTGTTGAGTGGAGGGTGAGTGAGTGGAGAGTGTTGAGTGGTGAGTGTTGAGTGGTGAGTGAGTGTTGAGTGGTGAGTGTTGAGTGAGTGTTGAGTGGTGACCTCTTGAACCCCATGTCTCTGATGGCGGAGGCGGGTGTGAGTGAGTGTTGAGTGTTGAGTGGTGAGTGTTGAGTGGTGAGTGAGTGGTGAGTGTTGAGTGTTGAGTGGTGAGTGTTGAGTGGTGAGTGAGTGGTGAGCAAGGTGAGTGGTGAGTGGTGAGTGTTGAGTGGTGAGTGAGTGGTGAGTGAGTGGTGAGCTAGGTGAGTGGTGAGTGGTGAGTGAGTGAGTGGTGAGTGAGTGGTGAGTGAGTGGTGAGCTAGGTGAGTGTTGAGTGGTGAGTGAGTGTTGAGTGGTGAGTGAGTGGTGAGCTAGGAGTGTTGAGTGAGTGGTGAGTGTTGAGTGGTGAGTGAGTGGTGAGCTAGGTGAGTGTTGAGTGTTGAGTGGTGAGCAAGGTGAGTGTTGAGTGGTGAGTGTTGAGTGGTGAGTGGTGAGTGTTGAGTGGTGAGCAAGGTGAGTGTTGAGTGGTGAGTGTTGAGTGGTGAGCAAGGTGAGTGTTGAGTGGTGAGTGTTGAGTGGTGAGTGTTGAGTGGTGAGTGAGTGGTGAGTGAGTGAGTGAGTGTTGAGTGTTGAGTGGTGACCTCTTGAACCCCATGTCTCTGATGGCGGAGGCGGGTGGTGAGTGAGTGGTGAGTGAGTGTTGAGTGGTGAGTGGTGAGCTAGGTGAGTGTTGAGTGGTGAGTGTTGAGTGGTGAGTGAGTGTTGAGTGGTGAGTGTTGAGTGGTGACCTCTTGAACCCCATGTCTCTGATGGCGGAGGCGGGTGGTGAGTGAGTGGTGAGCTAGGTGAGTGAGTGTTGAGTGGTGAGTGAGTGAGTGGTGAGTGAGTGTTGAGTGTTGAGTGGTGAGTGAGTGGTGAGTGTTGAGTGGTGAGTGAGTGGTGAGCTAGGTGAGTGAGTGGTGAGTGTTGAGTGGTGAGTGAGTGTTGAGTGGTGAGTGAGTGGTGAGTGAGTGGTGAGCTAGGTGAGTGAGTGTTGAGTGTTGAGTGGTGACCTCTTGAACCCCATGTCTCTGATGGCGGAGGCGGGTGGTGAGTGAGTGGTGAGTGAGTGGTGAGTGAGTGGTGAGTGAGTGGTGAGTGAGTGGTGAGTGTTGAGTGGTGAGTGGTGAGTGGTGAGTGTTGAGTGAGTGTTGAGTGGTGAGTGTTGAGTGGTGAGTGAGTGAGTGTTGAGTGTTGAGTGGTGACCTCTTGAACCCCATGTCTCTGATGGCGGAGGCGGGTGGGTGAGTGAGTGGTGAGTGAGTGGTGAGTGAGTGGTGAGTGAGTGGTGAGTGGTGAGTGTTGAGTGGTGAGTGTTGAGTGGTGAGTGGTGAGTGTTGAGTGGTGACCTCTTGAACCCCATGTCTCTGATGGCGGAGGCGGGTGGTGAGTGAGTGGTGAGTGAGTGGTGAGTGAGTGGTGAGTGAGTGGTGAGTGGTGAGTGTTTGAGTGGTGAGTGAGTGGTGAGTGTTGAGTGGTGACCTCTTGAACCCCATGTCTCTGATGGCGGGAGGCGGGTGGTGAGTGAGTGGTGAGTGAGTGGTGAGTGAGTGGTGAGTGAGTGGTGAGTGTTGAGTGGTGAGGTGTTGAGTGGTTGAGTGTTGAGTGGTGACCTCTTGAACCCCATGTATCTGATGGCGGAGGCGGGTGGTGAGTGAGTGGTGAGTGAGTGGTGAGTGAGTGGTGAGTGAGTGTGAGTGAGTGGTGAGTGGTTGAGTGGTGAGTGTTGAGTGAGTGTTGAGTGGTGAGTGTTGAGTGGTGAGTGTTGAGTGGTGAGTGAGTGAGTGTTGAGTGTTGAGTGGTGACCTCTTGAACCCATGTCTCTGATGGCGGAGGCGGGTGGTGAGTGAGTGGTGAGTGAGTGGTGAGTGAGTGGTGAGTGAGTGGTGAGTGGTGAGTGTTGAGTCGTGAGTGTTGAGTGTGAGTGGTGAGTGTTGAGTGGTGACCTCTTGAACCCCATGTCTCTGATGGCGGAGGAGGGTGTGAGTGAGTGGTGAGTGAGTGGTGAGTGAGTGGTGAGTGAGTGGTGAGTGTTTGAGTGGTGAGTGTTGAGTGGTGACCTCTTGAACCCCATGTCTCTGATGGCGGAGGCGGGGTGGTGAGTGAGTGGTGAGTGAGTGGTGAGTGAGTGGTGAGTGAGTGTAGTGAGTGGTGAGTGTTGAGTGTGAGTGTTGAGTGGTGAGTGTTTGAGTGGTGACCTCTGTGAACCCCATGTCTCTGATGGCGGAGGCGGGTGGTGAGTGAGTGGTGAGTGAGTGGTGGAGTGAGTGGTGAGTGAGTGGTGAGTGGTGGTGTTGAGTGGTGAGTGAGTGGTGAGTGTTGAGTGGTGACCTCTTGAACCCCATGTCTCTGAATGCGGAGGCGGGTGGTGAGTGAGTGGTGAGTGAGTGTGAGTGAGTGGTGAGTGAGTGGTGAGTGTTGAGTGTGAGTGTTGAGTGGTGATTGTTGAGTGGTGAGTGTTGAGTGGTGACCTCTTGAACCCCATGTCTCTGATGGCGGAGGCGGGTGGTGAGTGGAGTGGTGAGTGAGTGGTGAGTGAGTGGTGAGTGAGTGGTGAGTGGTGAGTGTTGAGTGGTGAGTGAGTGGTGAGTGTTGAGTGGTGACCTCTTGAACCCCATGTCCTCTGATGGCGGGAGGCGGGTGGTGAGTGAGTGGTGAGTGAGTGGTGATGAGTGGTGAGTGAGTGGTGAGTGTTGAGTGGGTGAGTGTTGAGTGGTGAGTGTTGAGTGGTGACCTCTTGAACCCCATGTCTCTGATGGCGGAGGCGGGTGGTGAGTGAGTGGTGAGTGAGTGGTGAGTGAGTGGTGAGTGAGTGTGAGTGGTTTGAGTGGTGAGTGAGTGGTGAGTGTTGAGTGGTGACCTCTTGAACCCATGTCTCTGATGGCGGAGGCGGGTGGTGAGTGAGTGGTGAGTGAGTGGTGAGTGAGTGGTGAGTGAGTGGTGAGTGGTGAGTGTTGAGTGAGTGAGTGGTGAGTGTTGAGTGGTGACCTCTTGAACCCCATGTCTCTGATGGCGGAGGCGGTGGTGAGTGAGTGGTGAGTGAGTGGTGAGTGAGTGGTGAGTGAGTGGTGAGTGTTGAGTGGTGAGTGTTGAGTGGTGAGTGTTGAGTGGTGACCTCTTGAACCCCATGTCTCTGATGGCGGAGGCGGGTGGTGAGTGAGTGGTGAGTGAGTGGTGAGTGAGTGGTGAGTGAGTGGTGAGTGGTGATTGTTGAGTGGTGAGTGAGTGGTGAGTGTTGAGTGTTGACCTCTTGAACCCCATGTCTCTGATGGCGGAGGCGGGTGGTGAGTGAGTGGTGAGTGTTGAGTGGTGAGTGAGTGTTGAGTGGTGAGCAAGGTGAGTGGTGAGTGTTGAGTGGTGACCTCTTGAACCCCATGTCTCTGATGGCGGAGGCGGTGGTGAGTGAGTGGTGAGTGTTGAGTGTGAGTAGTGTTGATGTTGGTGGTGAGTGTTGAGTGGTGACCTCTTGAACCCCATGTCTCTGATGGCGGAGGCGGGTGGTGAGTGAGTGGTGAGTGAGTGGTGAGTGAGTGGTGATGAGTGGTGAGTGAGTGGTGAGTGTTGAGTGGTGAGTGAGTGGTGAGTGTTGAGTGGTGACCTCTTGAACCCCATGTCTCTGATGGCGGAGGCGGGTGGTGATGAGTGGTGAGTGAGTGGTGAGTGAGGTGGTGAGTGAGTGGTGAGTGTTGAGTGGTGAGTGAGTGGTGAGTGTTGAGTGGTGACCTCTTGAACCCCATGTCTCTGATGGCGGAGGCGGGTGGTGAGTGAGTGGTGAGTGAGTGGTGAGTGAGTGGTGAGTGTTGAGTGGTGAGTGTTGAGTGGTGAGTGTTGAGTGGTGACCTCTTGAACCCATGTCTCTGATGGCGGAGGCGGGTGGTGAGTGAGTGGTGAGTGAGTGGTGAGTTAGTGGTGAGTTGAGTGGTGAGTGGTGAGTGTTGATGGTGGTGAGTGGTGAGTGTTGAGTGGTGACCTCTTGAACCCCATGTCTCTGATGGCGGAGGCGGGTGGTGAGTGAGTGGTGATGTTGAGTGGTGAGTGAGTGTTGAGTGTTGAGTGGTGAGTGTTGAGTGGTGACCTCTTGAACCCCATGTCTCTGATGGCGGAGGCGGTGGTGAGTGAGTGGTGAGTGAGTGGTGAGTGAGTGGTGAGTGAGTGGTGAGTGAGTGTTGAGTGGTGAGTGAGTGGTGAGTGTTGAGTGGTGACCTCTTGAACCCCATGTCTCTGATGGCGGAGGCGGGTGGTGAGTGAGTGGTGAGTGGTGAGTGAGTGGTGAGTGGTGAGTGAGTGGTGAGTGGTGAGTGGTGACCTCTTGAACCCCATGTCTCTGATGGCGGAGGCGGGTGGTGAGTGAGTGGTGAGTGAGTGGTGAGTGAGTGGTGAGTGTTGAGTGGTGAGTGTTGAGTGGTGAGTGTTGAGTGGTGACCTCTTGAACCCCATGTCTCTGATGGCGGAGGCGGTGGGAGTGAGTGGTGAGTGAGTGGTGAGTGAGTGGTGAGTGAGTGTGAGTGAGTGGTGAGTGGTGAGTGTTGAGTGGTGAGTGAGTGGTGAGTGTTGAGTGGTGACCTCTTGAACCCCATGTCTCTGATGGCGGAGGCGGGTGGTGAGTGAGTGGAGAGTGTTGAGTGGTGAGTGGAGAATGTTGAGTGTTGAGTGGTGAGTGTTGAGTGGAGAGTGTTGAGTGGTGACCTCTTGAACCCCATGTCTCTGATGGCGGAGGCGGGTGGTGAGTGAGTGGTGAGTGAGTGGTGATGGTGAGTGTTGAGTGTGAGTGAGTGGTGAGTGTTGAGTGGTGACCTCTTGAACCCCATGTCTCTGATGGCGGAGGCGGGTGTGAGTGAGTGGTGAGTGTTGAGTGGTGAGTGAGTGTTGAGTGGTGAGTTGTTGAGTGGTGAGTGTTGAGTGTGACCTCTTGAACCCCATGTCTCTGATGGCGGAGGCGTGGTGAGTGAGTGGTGAGTGAGTGGTGAGTGAGTGTGAGTGAGTGGTGAGTGAGTGGTGAGTGGTGATGTTGAGTGGTGAGTGAGTGGTGAGTGTTGAGTGGTGACCTCTTGAACCCCATGTCTCTGATGGCGGAGGCGGGTGGTGAGTGAGTGGTGAGTGTTGAGTGTGGTGAGTGTTGAGTTGGTGAGTGAGTGGTGAGTGTTGAGTGGTGACCTCTTGAACCCCATGTCTCTGATGGCGGAGGCAGTGGCCCAACGAAGACAACTCCGGCCGCGTGGCACCGCTCAGCAAACTCCGCAGACTCCGACAAAAACCCGTAGCCTGGGTGCACTGCCTGGGGGGGGTCACTGTGGGGGGGGTCACGTGGGGGGGGGTCACGTGGGGGGGGGTCACGTGGGGGGGGTCACGTGGGGGGGGGTCCGTGGGGGGGGGGTCACGTGGGGGGGGGTGGGGGGGGGCACGTGGGGGGGGGTCACGTGGGGGGGGGTCACGTGTGGGGGGGTCACGTGGGGGGGGTCACGTGGGGGGGTCACGTGGGGGTGAGACGTGTGAACAAGGGTGAGACAGTGAAGAAGAGTAGCAATCAGTGTGCCCCTCCCCCCTCGTGCCCCTCCCCCCTCGTGCCCCTCCCCCCCACGGCCCCTCCCCCCCACGTGCCCCTCCCCCCCACGTGCCCCTCCCCCACGTGCTCCCCTCCCCCCCTCGTGCCCCTCCCCCCCAACGTGCCCCTCCCCCCCCGTGCCCCTCCCCCCCACGTGCCCCTCCCCCCCACGTGCCCCTCCCCCACGTGCTCCCCCTCCCCCACGTGCTCCCCCTCGCCCCCTCGTGCCCCTCGCCCCCCACGTGCCCCTCCCCCCACGTGCCCCTCCCCCCACGTGCCCCTCCCCCCACGTGCCCCTCCCCCCACGTGCCCCTCCCCCCCACGTGCCCCTCCCCCCCACGTGCCCCTCCCCCCCCGTGCCCCTCCCCCCACGTGCCCCTCCCCTCACCTGACACCGGAGTGCCGTGCCACGTCCAGGATTCTGTCCATGTTCAGGTAGCTCAGCTGTGACGCCGCTGGGCCAATGTGGTGTGCCTCGTCCGCCTGTGACCGTCACAACACAACAACCAATGTGGTGTGCCTCGTCCGCCTGTGACGTCACAACAACAACAACCAATGTGGTGTGCCTCGTCCGCCTGTGACGTCACAACAACACAACCAATGTGGTGTCCGCTCCCGCCTGTGACGTCACAACAACAACACCAATGTGGTGTGCCTCGTCCGCCTGTGACGTCACAACAACAACAACAACATCGCTACAACAACAACAACATCGCTACAACAACAACATCGCTACAACAACAACAACAACATCGCTACAACAACACAACCAAGTGGTGGCGACGTCACAACAACAACATCGCTACAACAACACAACAAAGTGGTGGTGACGTCCACATTACATCGCTACAACAACAACAAAGTGGTGGTGACGTCCACAACAACAACAACATCGCTCCAACAACAACAAAGTGGTGGTGACGTCACAACAACAACATCGCTCCAACGACAACAACAACAACAACCAAGTGGTGGTGACGTCACAACATCGCTACAACAACAACAACCAAGTGGTGGTGACGTCACAACAACAACATCGCTACAACAACAACCAAGTGGTGGTGACGTCACAACAACAACATCGCTACAACAACAACAACAACCAAGTGGTGGTGACGTCACAACAACAACATCGCTCCAACAACAACAACAACAACAACCACCAAGTGGTGGTGACGTCACAACATCGCTACAAACAACAACAACCAAGTGGTGGGACGTCACAACAACAACAACATCGCTCCAACAACAACCAAGTGGTGGTGACGTCACAACAACAACAACATCGCTCCAACAACAACCAAGTGGTGTGACGTCACAACAACAACATCGCTCCAACGACAACAACAACCAAGTGGTGGTGACGTCACAACATCGCTACAACACAACAACCAAGTGGTGGTGACGTCACAACAACCAACCGCTCCAACAACCAAGTGGTGGTGACGTCACAACAACAACAACATCGCTCCAACAACAACCAAGTGGTGGTACGTCACAACAACAACATCGCTCCACGACAACAACAACAACAACCAAGTGGTGGTGACGTCACAACATCGCTACAACAACACAACCAAGTGGTGGTGACGTCACAACAACAACATCGCTCCAACAACAACAACCACCAAGTGGTGGTGACGTCACCAACAACATCGCTCCAACAACACAACCAAGTGGTGGTGACGTCACAACAACAACATCGCTCCAACAACAACAACAACTGCCACAAAGTGGTGGTGGTTGTTGGTATGGTGGTGGTTGTTGGTATGGTGGTGGTTGTTGTTGGTATGGTGGTTGTTGTTGGTATGGTGTGGTTTGTTGTTGGTATGGTGTTGTTGTTGGTATGGTGGTGGTGGTTTGTTGGTATGGTGGTGGTTGTTGTTGGTATGGTGGTTGTTGTTGGTATGGTGGTGGTGGTTGTTGGTATGGTGGTGGTGGTTGTTGGTATGGTGGTGGAGGTTGTTGGTATGGTGGTGGTGGTTGTATGGTGGTGTGGTTGTTTGGTATGGTGGTGGGTTGTTGTTGGTATGGGGGTGGTTGTTGGTATGGTGGTGGTTGTTGGTATGGTGGTTGTTTGGTATGGTGGTGGTGGTTGTTGGTATGGTGGTGGTTGTTGGTATGGTGGTGGTGGTTGTTGGTATGGTGGTTGTTGGTATGGTGGTGGTGGTTGTTGGTATGGTGGTGGTGGTTGTTTGGTATGGTGTGTGGTTGTTGGTATGGTGGTGGTTGTTGTTGGTATGGTGGGTTGTTGGTATGGTGGTGGTTGTTGTTATGTGGTGGTTGTTGGTATGGTGGTTGTTGTTGGTATGGTGGTTGTTGTTGGTATGGTGGTGGTGGTTGTTAGTATGGTGGTAGTGGTTTGTTAGTATAGTGGTGGTGGTTGTTGGTATGGTGGTGGTTGTTGTTGGTATGGTGGTGGTTGATGGTATGGTGGTGGTTGTTGGTATGGTGGTGGTTGTTGGTATGTGGTGGTGGTTGTTGTATGGTGGTTGTTGTTGGTATGGTGGTGTTGTTGGTAAGGTGGTGGTGTTGTTGTATGGTGGTGGTTGTTGTTGGTATGGTGGTGGTTGTTGGTATGGTGGTGGTTGTTGTTGTTATGGTGGTGGTTGTTGTTATGGTGGTGGTTGTTGGTATGGTGGTGGTTGTTGGTATGTTGGTGGTTGTTGTTGGTATGGTGGTGGTTGTTGTTGGTATGGTGGTGGTTGTTGTTGGTATGGTGGTGGTTGTTGTTGTAGGTGGTGGTGGTTGTTGGTATGGTGGTGGTTGTTGTTGGTATGGTGGTGGTGGTTGTTGGTAGGTGGTTGTTGTTGGTATGGTGGTGGTTGTTGTTGGTATGGTGGTGGTTGTTGTTGGTATGGGGTGGTTGTTGTTGGTATGGTGGTGGTTGTTGTTGTATGGTGGTGGTTGTTGTTGGTATGGTGGTGGTTGTTGTTGGTATGGTGGTGGTGGTTGTTGGTATGGGGGTGGTTGTGTTGTTGGTATGGTGGTTGTTGGATGGTGTTGTGGTATGGTGGTGGTGGTTGTTGGTATGGGGGTGGTGGTGGTTGTTGGTATGTGGTGGTTGTTTTTGGTATGGTGTGGTTGTTGTTGTATGGTGGTTGTTGTGGTATGGTGGTGGTTGTTGTTGGTATGGTGGTGGTGTTGTTGGTATGGTGGTGGTTGTTGTTATGGGGTGGTGGTGTTGGTATGGTGGTTGTTGTTGGTATGGTGGTGGTTGTTGTTGGTATGGTGGTTGTGTTTGTTGGTATGGTGTTGTTGTTGGTATGGTGGTGGTTGTTGGTATGGTGGTGGTTGTTGTTGGTATGGTGGTTGGTTTGTTGGTATGGTGGTGGTTGTTGTTATGGTGGTGGTTGTTGGTATGGTGGTGGTTGTTGGTATGTGGTGGTTGTTGGTATGTTGGTGGTTGTTGGTGGTATGGTGGTGGTGGTTGTTGGTATGGTGGTGGTGTTGTTGTTGGTATGGTGGTGGTGGTTGTTGGTATGGTGGTGGTTGTTGGTATGGTGGTGGTGGGTTGTTGTTGGTATGGTGGGGTGGTTGTTGGTATAGTGGTGGTTGTTGTTGGTATGGTGGTGGTGGTTGTTGGTATGGTGGTGGTGGTTGTTGGTATGGTGGTGGTGGTTGTTGGTATGGTGGTGGTGGTTGTTGTTGGTATGGTGGTGGCTGTTGTTGGTATGGTGGTGGTTGTTGGTATGGTGGTGGTTGTTGTTGGTATGGTGGTGGTGGTTGTTGGTATGGGGGTGGTGGTTGTTGGTATGGTGGTGGTGGTTGTTGTTGGTATGGTGGTGGTGGTTGTTGTTGGTATGGTGTGGTTGTTGCGGTGGTGGCTGCGGCGGTCGTGGTGGCGGTTGCCACGGTTACTGTTGCCGCCGCCGCCACAGCTGTGGTTACCATGGCGAACGTGCATGGCTGTAGCGTCGGGGTCGCTGAACCCGCCACGCTCCGCACCCCCATGGCCCTCGCCGAACGGATGACGCGGCACGCAATCTCTCCCCGGTTCGCCACCAACACCGAGTCGATCCTGCCTGGGTCACGGGGTCACGGGGTCACGGTCCACGCAATCTCTCCCCGGTTCGCCACCAACACCGAGTCGATCCTGCCTGGTCACGGGGTCACGGGGTCACGGGGTCACGCAATCTCTCCCCGATTCGCCACCAACACCGAGTCGATCCTGCCTGGGTCACGGGTCACGGGGTCACGGGTCACGGGTCCACGCAACTCTCCCCGGTTCGCCACCAACACCGAGTCGATCCTGCCTGGGTCACGGGGTCACGGGGTCACGGGTCACGCAATCTCTCCCCGGTTTCGCCACCAACACCGAGTCGATCCTGCCTGGGTCACGGGGTCACGGGGTCACGCAATCTCTCCCCGGTTCACCATCAACACCGAGTCGATCCTGCCTGGGTCACGGGGTCACGGGGTCACGGGGTCACGCAATCTCTCCCCGGTTCACCACCAACACCGAGTCGATCCTGCCTGGTCACGGGGTCACGGGGTCATGCAATCTCTCCCCGGTTCGCCACCAACACCGAGTCGATCCTGCCTGGGTCACGGGTCACGGGTCACGCAATCTCTCCCCGGTTCGCCACCAACACCGAGTCGATCCTGCCTGGGTCACGGGGTCACGGGTCACGCAATCTCTCCCCGGTTCGCCACCAACACCGAGTCGATCCTGCCTGGGTCACGGGGTCACGGGTCACGCAATCTCTCCCCGGTTCGCCACCAACGCCGAGTCGATCCTGCGGAGACCAGGGGTCACTGGGTCACGTGGTCACGTGGTCACGGGGAAACGCGTTCTCCACGTGGAGCTGATGTAGCCATGCTGTAGATCAGGGGTGGGGGCCGTCTGAGGCACCGCGGAATCATTTGGGTCTCTGGAGCTGCCAAGGCAACCGCAGGCGGACTCCAAATTCAACAAATCTAGGAGAGCAAAAACGTGGAAAAGCAGTTGCGAGTAGCGCAACATCGTCGTCAATAGCCGGCTAACATCACCATCATCATCATCACACTATGCCTCGCCAAAGAGAAGCAGTTCCAGCCCATGGCATTAGGGGCGACTTAATTAAATGTTTGACCAAATCTAACGGGCTATTTTTAAGTTGATAATCTTGTATGGCCCGGATGATTTATGTAAATATCCAAATGGCCCTTGGCAGAAAAAAAATGTTCCCCACCCCTGCTGTAGGTGATGGTGATCATGATACTGGTGACGGTCATGGTGGTGGTGGTGGTGATGGTGGTGGCGGTGATGATGGTGACAGTGGTGATGATGTAGTCATGCTGTAGATGATGGTGATGATGATACTGGTGGCGGTGATGGTGGTGATGATGGTGATATGGTGATGATGTAGTCATGCTGTAGATGATGGTGATGATGATACGGTGGCGGTGATGGTGGTGGCGGTGATGGTGATGATGATGTAGTCATGCTGTAGATGATGGTGATGATGATAC